ACAATACATCTAAACTTCGTTAGTTTGATCGTTATTATTTAAAAGCCTCAACAAAACTGTTTCAATCTAGACTAGTGTTTGTTAGCCTAGATATCATCAGTGTAAGGTGTCCTTTATTATTTATTATGTTTAAAATTTAAAAATTCCGTTGTAGATGTGATTTAAGTTATTTGTGTCTGTTCTATAATAAGAAAATGTATAAGAAAATAAATTTTCCAGTTGCTGAAGAAGTCCCAATAAAGGGACGAAACGTCCAACTCAATTAAATWAARTTCTACTTYTTTTCATGTCCAAGTTCCCTATGAAACTTTATCATCAAAAATTATAATTTTGGACGAGAGAAAATACTAAATAAATTTTGATTATTATTGTTTGTAGATAAAGTTTCGTTGTCTGCCAGGAGTTATTATTGAAAAAAATATCTCTGCCGTATAAAATTTAGGCTCCTAATACTATAATAAATAACATATTAAAATTTCAAATTTGCTAAAATACATTTGAAGTTTGATTTTTTTTTCAAAAGTGTCTACCATAACTTTAGAATCGTCATAAATATCTGCCATTATTTTTTTTTGAATAATAATAATAGTAAATAATAAAATATCTAAATATCAGCCTTAAAAAAATGCTTAGTTAGTCTAAATTTTGTATCTTTGCTCCCTAAATCACGCCATAGGAATCGCTGCCGAACTTAGTCAGTCTCCCTCTAATGTATGGTAGGTATGAGAGATTGACTGGATGGAATTTGGAATTTGATAAAATACATATGTTTTGTTTACTTTTCATGGGCTCTTAAGGCCTTACATACGTCTAGCAGCGCCAAAAAGGCGTTAAAGAAAAAAATTTTGGTATATAGTAGGAATAACAATAGAAATTAATAAAAATAAATAGTACACATTGTTTATTGGTATTTTAACTTTATACAAAATTTTATTTCACTTTATTTTTACAAAAATTACTATATAAAAAATCACGTGATCCACAATATTAAGAATAAAAAGTTGCTTCACGGTCGATATCATATCTCCAGTAAATGTAGTTCGATGTACAAAATTTAGAAAAATTCTTGTAAAATAATATTGTAGTTATAGCTGTCGAGCCGGAATTTTGAACTTCGGAAAATTTAGCAATTTATTACAGTTTAAAAAAATGTATGCGTTTTACGTCATAAATTTTACACTTTAATTATTTTTATAAAATTTTTATAAATCAAAATATCAAAAATCCGGCTCGCGACAAACTATACAGAAAATGATTTCAAATAGTTAAAAAAAATCGCATCAGAAAATATTAAAAACTGTATAAGTTATCATGCAGACCGTGGCGGAAAAAATAGTTTCGAGAAAAACGCGTTTAAAGTTTGAAGTGTCTCAAACAAAAGACAGCTATCTGCACGCACCGAACTCTTGACGGGTGGTCACAATTTCTATCATAACTTTGAGTCTATGGGGATTTTGTGCAATCGACTTTCACAGAAATAAGCCTAAAACTATAGAGAACAAAATTCTGTTAAAAAAAAAATCAATTTTTTGAAAATTCTAGACGTATGAAAAGCCTTAAGCTAAGAACTTTTATTACTAATGTTAAATGGAATTTCATACGAGTCGTACTATCTACGAAAAATACTAACGATCTCTCGAATCGAATATTTCGAACGTGTCGGACAGATTTCATTCAACAATTGTATCAACTTGCGTCAATATAAGACTTACGTAATGAAGGAACTCTTCAAATTAAAAGGAACAAAAGAAATAAAAAAAGAAGATGGATGCGAGTTAGTAACAAATATACATGTAAGAAATATCATCGCCATTGATACGTATTAGGACTTTGCAGCCATATGATTTATCTCAAAAGAATACAACTTCTTTTTGAATAAAATTGATAATTTTTGACAGTTAGAGAGAGAGAGAGAGAGATCATTTAGAAACAACATAATAGATAAGTGCAGTGAATATATAAAATGAAAATATAGGAGCTTACTATATAACGCGCTTTGATCTATCTCCTAATTATTAAATGTATGATTTTATTTGTATCAGTGCGTCGCGTAGCTTTGTAATATTGTCGTTACATTAAACTGATCTCAACTCTGACATTAATTGAAGTTCGAATCGAACGGGTCACGCGAATGAAATATCGCTGACTCTTCTTAAGAGATCAGTTAACCTTTTTTTTTATTAGTATATTACCCATCACATTTTCTACGTATTGTTCGGAATGCAAAAGTGACAATGATTTATAAATATACATATGAATGTAAAACTCGCAAAAAATCAAGCACGAAATCATGCAGAAAACAACATTTTTATGAGAAAATTCGATTTCATAATGTATTTTGTTGATTTTATTAAGTCAATTAATTGTATATAATAAAAATAAAAAGAAAAACAAATTAGCAGTATAGTAATTAAAAGTAGGGAAGAATATGAAAGAGTATCGATCATCGTCATATCGAACTATCTTTCGTTGAAGTAACTTCAATATTTGTTCTCATATCAATTTTTAGTAAATATACTTTTAAATGTTGTGAGAAAAGAACATATTGTAAAAAACAAATGAAAACACGTGATATAATTTAGAAAACTTTGAAAACCATAAATTTAATATCTAATATGTGTACATAAACGAACGAACAATATAAAATGAAAAGGGAGAGTAAAAAAATATTAAATATGAAATATATATGTAATGTAAAAGTTTAGTTACTTAAAATCAATGAAAATGTTGGTTAGATTTTTGCTTAGAGTAGTGTTCACGATGTAAGAACATCGTTCAAATATCCTCAAGCAAACTCCAACATAGATCTATCCTAATCTTTGTCAACTCTGTCACTTAAGCGATAAAGCAGGGTACGTGAAGCGATGATGATGGACGATGATTCATCATCGAAAAGTGCGTCGCCGAAATGCTGCTACTATAAATTCGTATATTCGCGGGTATCGCTCATTCATCTTTTCATCTATCTATCTACTTATCTATTTATTTATCTATCCATCCATTCATCGTTAAGAACGCGTTTGAAAAAAGAAAAGTGGAACGATGGTTTTTGAAACTATCACTATAAGTGATAATGGTTGATAAAATTAAAAGAAAGAGAAAGAGGAAAAGGAAGTGAGAGAGAAAAAGAGAGAGACAGACAGAAATAGTAGAAGAAGAGAAGAATAAGCAAAAAAGATAAAGGAGAGAAGAAGGCAATAATAAAAAAATAAAATAATAAGTAATTACGTTATTAATTACTAGAAGTGTCTGCTATCGTACTGCTACTGATTCTTGCTACCGGCAAGGATGCGAAAACGTGTGAGAAGCCTAAGCCACGCGAGTTTCACGAGCGCCTCGTGGGACGATTTGGGGTAACGATATTTCTTGAAAGAATTGATAAAAATACAACAAACCTCTTACAATGAAACCATCCGAGCGCACTGTCGGACACAAACTAAGTCTCGAACGTTGACCACGAGCCGTCGGCAGCCCGCGCGAACGATCTGATCCCGAGTTCAGCCGATCCCATCAACCCGAACTACGACGAAAGCTTATACTGAGCCTATAAATCGTCGCTTTGAACTTTCACGTGTATATTCATCGAACAAAACTAACTGAACGAATCGAACGAATGAAAATTACAAGTAAAATAAGATAGTCCGATATTAGTCATGACCGACGTTTTTATTGGACTTGATTTTATTTATTTACCTATATATTTTCTATCCTTTATTTTATTTCATGATCTTTAACCTTATTTATCTTAGATTAGATATAATAATGCTTTCCTTTCCTATGTTTTCAATATAATATATTTTATTGTTGTTCATATATAATTGGAAACTTACCTCCTAATTACTCAAGAATTTGAATCGATAATTAGAAATTCTTTCCCTTCTTCCTATAACTCTGAACATCTGCATTTTAACAACTTCCGTCAATAACACTTTCCACCTGGTCAGTAGAATAGCATTTAATTGGTTACACGTGTGTATATTAAATAATGCCGCGCTTTTCTATAGCGAGATTTTTCTAACGATTCACCTGATTGGTTGTTTTGATATGTCGCACGAATATCATTATTTTAACAGAAAAAATGAAAGAAAGTTTTTGATTAATTACTGATACATTACCTTATATTTTATTTTTCCTTGTCATTGAATTTTACTTTTATGTGAGATCTTTCCTTTTCTTTCTTTGTTAGCATTTTACATTCGCTGGTACGGTTCACTCGTTTCTGTATTTAAAAAAAAAACACGGTCGTAAATTTTTTAATTTTTATATTGGGAGGGAAAAGTGAAATTATCGTAAGATCAATTGCAAATAAATAAAAAAATAACTAGATAAATGAAAGAGAAACAACGGCAACTATTATTTCTATTATGCATATGGATGTCTGTCATCCTACTTAATAAATATATGATCAAAAATATGATGTTTTTTTTAAATATGTATCAGCTAAAAATTATAGTTATCATTATTTATTAATATTAATTATTTCAATATATTTAAATATTAGGATGACAAGTTCTACTACAAGATCAATCATACTTTCATTATAAATTCAATAAGCATTATTTGAAATTCATAAAAGGGATATGCTTTTGAAAGAATAATTTAATTTCAATAATAATTTATGATATCTTTCAACCTGAGATTGACACCAATGATTCTTCTATGCTATCTTCTTTCGTTATCCAACAATGTCATGGAAGAATAATAGACTATAATATAAAATTAAAATCCAATTAATATCACTTTTTCATTTCTTCTAACCATTCATCCATAATGTCATTATCAGCAGTGAATCTACAGTAGAGACAAAAATGAGGTATGATGTGATTAACAAAATAATATTTATATCAAGGATGAAGACGTGACCTAATATAAATGTTAAGGTTATAACGAAAGCAACAATTTGTAATAAAACGAATTTACATACTTTTTGAATGACCTATTCGAGGAATTTAATTTCACGTAACAATTATATTTAAATACACCATATTCACGAGCCATTATTGATTATTAATCCTATAAACAATTAATATTTTGAATCAACAATATATTCTCCACCCAAAATAGAATGATACTACTATATATGCTTCTACAATAAATAGGGGTAAGTACGAGTTTAATCCGAGGGTAAGTTATCATCTTCAAATTTATCTCTTTCATTTAAATAATTAATATTCTTTTATTAATAAAAATAATTCTTTTGTTGGATGTCGAAGAAATTTTAAAAGCCCTTGGATTTTATTTTTGTTTAAATTAATAAGAAAATATAATATTTTTAATATCGTTGAAAATTAATAATATAGTTTAACAAGTTGTACGCCATCTTGTATCAATATTAGAAAGCACTTCGTCTTTTACGAATCTTTAATATATATCCACGGATAATTAATTAATATTTATATTTTAATTTCTCATAATTTTATAATAAAATTAGACTATTTTATTTTAATATATAATTTTATTTAAATTTGTAATTTTTAACTAAATTAATTCGACCAATAAAAAACATTTCTGAAGTTGGCCATAAAAGGAAATAAAAAAAGGAATGGCCGTCGTTGATGACTATTGTACTATTCGCAATCACACGCGGAACCTACAAAAGTATTAATCAATTGAAATATTCTGACGAACAAGAAAATAAAAAAATTATTACAAAATGTCGACGATGGCAAGTCCTTTAGCTGTGGGAGGTGTGAGGCAATCAGGTGCTCCTGTAAGGACACAAAATGGTAATATGAAAAAAGACAAATGTGTAGTCAAAAGTTTGGTTATGCCGGACTGTCTGTAAGTACAGTAGACTCTACAAAATATTACGACTACTGTTTTAATGCAACACGATTCCTGGTTCAATGTGTTGTATAATAAAATACGGAAATTTCTAGTATTTAAAAATTAAATTTCCTTTAATTATCATTGCATTATTGTCTTCGTTGCTACCAATTTCTTCTGTTTCGTAATTGTTTTTTTTATTTTTTATTTTTGATCAATATATTATTTAGAGTCTATTGTATGGGAACGAATTATAATAAGTAATGTTGTAATTATTAGTTTACTTTTGCATAATTTTTATTTTTTATTTCAACAGTTATGGCTGCCTCGGCTATTGCTAACGTAGTAAAAAGTTCTTTAGGACCTGTAGGATTGGATAAAATGTTGGTTGACGATATTGGAGTATGTTTTATTAATTTAATTTATTCAATTTGAATTCTAATGTTTATTAATATTATAACACATCTTAGTAAAATATTAAAACTAACATTTTTAGGATGTAACTGTCACAAATGACGGAGCAACTATTTTACGTTTACTGGAAGTTGAGCATCCAGCAGCTAGAGTATTAGTCGAGTTAGCTCAATTACAGGATGAAGAAGTTGGAGATGGTACAACATCTGTTGTCATTGTTGCAGCTGAATTATTGAAAAATGCAGATGAGCTTGTTAAGCAGAAAATTCATCCGACCTCTGTTATCAGTGGTTACAGACTTGCTTGCAAGTACGCGATACGACATAAATTTCATTTATTTTTATGTGTAAATTGATATAGTAATTATTGTTTATTTGTTTTTTTTTTGTTTAATTACGATTCTAGGGAAGCCTGCAAATACATACAGGAACATTTAACAATCAATGTCGATGAATTGGGAAAAGATTGCTTGGTCAATGTAGCTAAGACCTCAATGTCTAGTAAAATTATAGGAGCGTATCCTTTCCAATTGAAAACAGTGAGCAAATAAACATTTGTTGATAAAGATATTTTTCTTTTAGAAAAACAAACAAATGTACAAATGTTTATTTAGTCATTAAATTTTAGATATCTATTTTATTTCATATTATAATTTCCATGACTAATAGATAGTGATGCTAATTTCTTTGGCAATATGGTCGTTGATGCTGCTAATGCTATCAAGATCAACGATGGTAAAGGTGGACATCTATATCCTATTAAAGCAGTTAATGTTTTAAAGGCTCATGGCAAAAGTGTTAGAGAATCTGTTCTTGTACATGGTTATGCACTTAATTGTACGGTGGCTTCACAAGCAATGCCTAAGAGGATAGTCAATCCAAAAATTGCTTGCTTGGACTTTTCTCTTCAAAAAGCTAAAATGAAGTTAGGTGTTGAAGTACTTATCACTGATCCTGAAAAATTGGAGGCTGTACGCCAACGAGAAATTGATATTACTAAAGAAAGAGTTCAGAAAATTTTAAATGCTGGTGCCAATGTTATTCTTCTGTCTGGTGGAGTAGATGACCTTTGTCTAAAGGTTTGTTAGATATTTAATAAATAAAAAAAATTACGATTTAATTCTAAACCGTTACTTTTTTTTAGTACTTTGTAGAAGCTAAGGCTATGGCAGTACGCAGGTGCAAGAAACCAGATCTAAAAAGAATTGCTAAAGCAACAGGAGCACAATTTTTAACTTCTTTGACTAATATGGAAGGAGAGGAAACCTTTGAACCAAGTTTCTTAGGTGAAGCTGCTGAAGTGGTACAGGAGATGATCTGTGATGATGAGCTCATTCTCATAAAAGGGTCAGTTTACAAATTTATTATAAAATAGAAGTAAAAATGACAATTTATGATATTTTATTTTGTTAATAGACCAAAAGCTCGAACTGCTAGCTCTATCATTTTACGTGGACCAAATGATTATTATTGTGACGAAATGGAACGTTCTGTACACGATGCTCTTTGTGTCGTGAAGCGTGTTTTAGAGAGTAAAAGTGTTGTCGCTGGTGGTGGTAGCGTTGAAGCTGCTCTTTCGATTTATTTAGAAAACTTTGCTACTTCTTTAGTAAGTATTTATTATTTAATTAATTGTAATCTTATTAACATTGTCATTATAATGTTATTCTTCATTTGGCAGAGTTCTCGCGAACAATTAGCCATTGCTGAATTTGCAAGATCACTTTTAATAATACCTAAAACATTAGCTGTTAATGCTGCTCAAGACGCAACTGATCTTGTTGCCAAGTTGAGAGCTTATCACAATTCAAGTCAAACAAAAGCAGATCTAGCTGAATTAAAATGGTAATGATTTAACATTCTTTATTTATAAATAGGTTTTTATATAATATTACATGATTTATTCACATAAAATTGTATTTATACTATGCAGGGTTGGGCTTGATTTATATGAAGGAACTATAAAGGATAATAAAAAGGTTGGTGTATTGGAACCAGCTATTTCGAAAATAAAATCCTTGAAATTTGCTACCGAAGCAGCGATTACTATACTTCGAATCGATGATATGATTAAATTGGATCCTGAACGATCCAAAGATAAATCATATCACGATGCAATGGCTGCTGGTGAATTGGAATAATAAAATTGCTTTAATTATTAAATTATCATAAGAAACATTCTCATAGTAAATTTTGTTCAAAATTTTATCATTATACTAATGTGTCTCTCCCCATGTGTTAAGAACTTTTAATAATATAATTTTTAAGTCATTATCACACATAACAAATATATTTACAATTAAATAACATATATATTATGTTCGCATTTCATAAAATTACTTAATTCTTGTACGAGCGTACTAATTAATAATTATATTAAGGAAAATAAAGCTTTTTCCTACTACAATTTGCATTTTAATTTAACGATTCATAGAATAGATTTATATTAATTTTCATATACTCTCGAGGTTTTTATTCACCCATTTTTATTTATTCTGATTTGATAAAAAAGGGATTTTTAATAAACGTGTAATGAAAGAAACTAAAACAAGAAAAGACATAATATTTGATAGGAATATGTATTTGATAATACGATATTTGATCCATGTCCAGGCATATTAGTCATATTAGGGGTTTTACCTCGGAATGAGAGATAGTCGGCTATAAACTTGTATAAACCTTTATTTCAACACCCTAAAACTTGTCTCAAAACCTACTTATCGTAGGGTGTCTGCGACTACAGATATTCCAAGGTCAAAGGTCAAAAAATCGATTTTTTACA